TTATTATTTAAATGGTGACATCTAGAATCTAGCCAGCAGAGAACTTTTAGTAAATTTCATTAAAAAATGGAGTTTCTGAAAATTACTAATTTTCCATCAGTAGACTATTTTTTTTTTTTTGTTCCAGATTATAAAACATTACATGCATCCATTACATGCATTGCATCCATTACATGCATGACATTACATGCATTATCCAGATTATAAGACATACAAGGAAAGTTTCTTTCATGGCATCTTTGCCCATGCCAACACACACATTATTTTTCTCACCAATAGCAAATCATTTCTACTTTCCACTCTCCCCTTCCTTTTCTAACGTACATTTTCAATAAATAAAATTGAAGCTCACATAAAATTTCAAATTTTGCATGATATCCTTGTTTTATTTTAATTTATATCTAGATTAGTTGTTTTTTTTAGAACATTTTTGGTTGAAACATTCTGTGAACCAAGCTCAATAATTTTGAATTAAAGCAAGTTTAAAGATATTTAAATATAAGCAGCAATGTTCGAAATGTAAGTCTATGTATGAAAAATACAATTTTATATTAAAATATGTCTCCACGGAATGCAAGACATCGTGATGCTAAAAGCTTTATTACTTCAAAAATTCTTCTAAATACTTCTCAATCATTGATTTGGTTACTCATCTGATTAGTTAAAACTATATGTATTAAGCAATCATTTTCTTGAGAAGTAAATCATTGTAGCATGTTCGTGCACAAACATATTTTCATGTTCTAAAATACACACATTATAATGTTACCAATCTTTTAAGCCACTTTCAGAATTAAATGCATTTTAATAATTGAGGAAAGGACATATCAGACAGATTACAAAACTTTAAGAGTGGCAAACTTTTGAGCCATAAAACATACACAGGTGTAAAAGTATTAGTGTTTTACAACATTCAGAAAGATCACTAATTTGATAATTGTTATTTTTATGTATAATTTATAACAAATGTATGAAAATTTATACTAAAAACACTTTTAAGCTTTTGTCTGACATAATAACTTTTGCCAAACTAAAAAAGAAAGAAAGAAAGAAAATTTAAAAAAAANACAACATTCAGAAAGATCACTAATTTGATAATTGTTATTTTTATATATAATTTATAACAAATGTATGAAAATTTATACTAAAAACACTTTTAAGCTTTTGTCTGACATAATAACTTCTGCCAAACTAAAAAAGAAAGAAAGAAAGAAAATTAAAAAAAAAAAGAACATTAAAAAATTGATACAAATTTAAGGAAAAAAATTAAGGATTGTCACCCTCATGGCCAAACTAAGTGTTAATGCTGTTCTAATTTGGAATACAGAACACGAACTAAGTAACATAAAACTTGAAGGAGCACAGTAACAAAGTAAGCTTGAAAAATACAGTACCTGGAATAGGTGTTCCAGTAGTTGGCAAATTGAAAAGTTTGCAAAAATTGTAATTTTCAGATCATAACGAAGTACCAATACAAATTCTTTGATTCACAACCAGCTGAAATATATAATGCAAACCTCAATTAAAATTATACTTGAAATTATTAGATATAATTTAAATGAATTATGAAAATATAGCAATTTTTATCTATCACAAGCTTTTAAACACAGTATAATTAAAAGAATACTATACAAATACTAGGACCCATTTAATGTAATTAAAATAAAGTTAAAAAAAAATATTAAAGTGTAAAGGATGAGATATTAAACAAGACTACTACAAAAATAGCCAGAAAAGCTATCTCTCAGATAGCTTTGCTACACAAACTATGATGAACTACACAAATAGTTATGAGGTTAGCAAGCAGTAGTAAGTTTTAAAATTGTGATTTGTAAAAGCCTCCTTATTAATCATAAAATTTTTCTCTAACCTCTTAAAGATGATCTAGGATAATCTGAGAGTTTTAAGCAGGTAATTAGGTTTCTTTCTAGATTTCATTTACTTCTATTTTTTATTAAATTAAAAATATAAACATACTGCAACAATGCTATTTTTTTAACAGTTGACTCAGAAATAATTAAAAACGAGTGTTTTAAAAACATTTTTTGCTACATTGCATACATACAACTCAAAACATGAAAATGAAAAATATGGCAAAACAAGATACGAAGTAGAGCAAAATGTTGAAAATTAGTTTGGTCATTCAGAAGTTATTAAGCAAAGCCACAAGAAGCAAAAATTTTCTTAAAAAGAAATAATCAATATANGAAAATGAAAAATATGGCAAAACAAGATACGAAGTAGAGCAAAATGTTGAAAATTAATTCGGTCATTCAGAAGTTATTAAGCAAAGCCACAAGAAGCAAAAATTTTCTTAAAAAGAAATAATCAATATAAAACTAAAATTTTGAAATAAATATTAAAAAAATCTATAATTTGTATAATAGTAAGACAATACCTTATCCAATTTTGTTCTTCTATGCTTCCTCTCCAGTGGTGCATCAGTTGGCAAAGTTTTCCACAATCTAGCTGTTGTATCATGCTTCTGTTGCACTTGTGGAAATCAGGAAAAATGTAATCAATGAGGAAGAATTTAACACCCATATAAAATCCCGAAAATTAAAGTATAGTGAGCATAAAAACATAAAAATGAACTTACAATGTACAGATTAACTTTTTAAAGCTTGGATGATACTTTCTTGTCGCCAGATTACAAACAAATCACAGCTTTAAAAAAAGTGATTACAACTGATATCTATTTAAACTTGGTACAAAAAATAATTATAATTTAAAGTTGCATTAGTCATATCTTTCCTAATAGGTTTTTCATCTATTTGTATACATTGTTTCATCTATACATTGTTTCACCCATTCATGTTTTATTTATATAAAGGTTCATCTGTATCCAAGCCATTTTTTTTCCTAATTTCCTAACAGATTTCAGACTTTCCAAATAAATATGGAAATTCCCTAAAATTTAAAAATAGGTTCACACAAGTGTTTAAACAATGGGTATGAAGCTGGAAAATACATTTCTTATGTTAATTCGCAAAAAAATTAAACCACAACTGAATTTTAAGAAATTGTAATAGTAACTGGGCAGCCACAATTTTAAAGGAAAATGCATTCGAACAATAATAATGATGTACTTTTTACAGCAGAAAATAATATTAACAGTTTCCAGTCCTGATGCTAGTTTTAAGTTAGTAGTTCTGAAAACAAATAGTATAATAGTACAGAAATAATTAAAACTTGCTCACTGATATCAAAGAATTGAAGATAGTAGTAGGGAGTGAAAGATATACATGGATAGAAGAAATGAATTGATTTGAATTGAATTCTGAAGAAAGTCAATAAATCTGGTCATTCTATAAGCTTTTCATAGCTAAAAATGCATTAATCTAATAGTAAAGTATAAAGAATTTAAAGAAAACTCAGGTTTTTAATTATATTAATTTCTATAAAATATGTTATTTAAAATTTAGATACAAATTTAGCGAATTTGTATCTAATCTTTAATTAGAGAGATACAAATTTAACCATCAAGTTTTATATATACATACACACATACACATCCATATTATTATCATCACATATAAGAGTATACAAATGTTGGTAGTTATTCAAGCTATTTTTTATCTTAATATCTTTGATCAAAATTTATCAACCATCAAATTTACTAATGAAATCGATTTTCTTAATAAAACTTAATCTCAAGAGATTTTCAATTCTGAAAAGTATTTATTATTTTTTCTCGATTGAGCAGAAGTTTTATGTATGAGACGTTTTGTGTTAAATACTTAACTCAACACTCGTGTATATCAAAATCGTTTAGTTGTATTCATTTTTAAAAAAATAATAATTTTTTTTATAAAAATATATAAAATATTTATTTGTCATGTTTATTTTATCAAAATCAAGTTCTTGTTCAAGTTTTATCAAAATCAAGTTCAAAAGAAAATGGTTTCATTAAATTAAAAATTAAAACAATAAGTTCAAAAAATTCATGAACATTTATTGCAGCCAAAAAAAAGTAACATGAGTTTACAAACAATATTAAAATAATTAATGCTCACCCATTACAGTGAATAACTGATGCGCAGAAAAAATACATGATGCAATGAAGCCAACAATGAATACAAAATATAAATGGACAGTTACTTCCATCTGCTGCCATAACATCAAACTGTAAGATTGAAAATCGCATGAATTTGCACATTTTATACTAATAATTAGCACATTTTAAACTAATAAATAAGTGTGCTTGTCAAAATTATAGCAATGTAATTCTTATTGCATTAAAAAAAAAAATTTTTTTTTGTACTTTCACTGAGAAGTATAAAAATTAAACATTTGAAAATTATATAAACATGCTAATAAATTA